TTGTCTCTACTGGAGTTAGATGGATGACTTTACACAAATTCACGTGCCCTTGCTTCAGGTTCCCTGTAACAGTAACATCTTCTACTGAGAATACCAACTACACAGAAGACGAACAGCTCTGTATAAATTAGTATAAAAGTATAAACTCTTTTTCCTCATTTTATTGTTATTGCACAGGATGGCTAAACAGAGGGAGAGAAAGAAGTTAAGACATTTGCTCAAGACCAGAACACCTGACACTTTCAGAAGAATTCAGTTATAAACAGTACCAAATAAAAACCAAACCCCTTTGCTATCAAAAAAAAAAAAAAAAGAAGGGGGGGAGGAGAAAAAAGCACTCTCTGAGAAGACTACACAAGAAAGAATAAATCATCTTTGGTAAAGATTAGTCATATTCCTACTGGAGCATTAAAAATGCTACTCAGGTATTTTAATGATGAGAATGGGGAAGCAGCGTGAAGTACCCAATGCTACTGAACAGCACAGCAGGAGAGCCCAATTCACGCTACCAGGTACTGTCTGTGCATACTTTGAGCTATTTTACTTGAATTTTTTTTCTTTAAGCTTGCATATTATTTTGAATTGTTTGTATTGAAACTAACTTAAGTGACACAGGTAACCCTTAAAACTTACCTACAGCAAGTAATCTTACTGCTAGTTTTGTGCTTAGAGACTGACTTCTGTTCAGGAGACCACAAGCCTTGATTAAAGCAAACAAAAAGCCAAAGTAAATTACAAGTAAGCATTTACCAGTGTTCAGATTAGAAACCAATATTGTCAGAAAACTCAGTTGGGACTTCAGAGGGATCAAAGTCTCACCCACTGCTAGAAGGACATTTAAGTACGTATTATTTATCAGTAAATGAGGGGGTGAAATCCATCTAAATAACACAGAGGGCGTGTCTGAAAAAAAAAAAAAAATAATCATCGTAACCAAGCAGTACATTTCACCCTGTGGCACCTCACTACACAGTCCTTTCCAACCGAGTTTAAGTGATTTAAATAAGTATCTATCATTACTTAACTTTAGGCAGCTTCATGTCTCATGTCTACTAGATATAAAGAACTGTACCTATCTGTGGTTAGCTCAGCTATACAGCTTCAGCAGAATGGCTTAATGGAAAAGCTAGAGGAAGACGACATACCAAAATCACTGGAAGAGCAGGATGCCAACTGGTGAGTAAGAGGATTGTATGAAACGCACTGTATAGAGTCATTATGCCTAGAATAAAGTTACAATCATATTTCAATAAATCATTCTTAAATGCCTCCTTTTCTGACTTCCAGCAAGACAGCTAAAAGGTCTACCAGATGCCAGAAATAATTCAATCAGTTTATATTACATCAAATTAATCTGCAATTACTGCAAACTAGATCAGTAATAAACCTTAAAAAAACTTGTCTCTAAGTGGTAGGAACCACTGTATTTCATCAAGATTAGCTAAAACTGTACGTAGATGGTGGTTTGTGAAATATGATTAAAGGTTGTATCGAAATTCTAAAGCAGTGTGCTTGTGTATGCTCCTGGCAGTACACTAGCTTGTGCACCCTGACTCGTACTGAATGTACACACACAGTCAGAGACGGAATGTGAAGATGTTGCTTAAAAGAGGCGACATAAAAACAAAGCCAGAAGAAAGATGGAAATACACTGAAAGTACCAAGCCTTATCTCTAGCTTGGTCTTTCAACTAGAATTATACTAATTGTATTATACAAGATCAGAACCGTATTGTGTTTAATTTTATTTCGATCTATACAGTTTCCCCAGCTCTCTGCCAGCCCTCTGAATTCAGAGATTTATCTAGACTTCCCACCCTCTTTTATGCCTTTAATTGCTTTCCTGCCTCAGATACTTGCTTTTCCTCTTCCCTCTCCTATTACCCACTCACTAGCATTTTCTCTGACCTTAGTCAACCTCCTTCCAAATCTAATGGCATATACTCTTTGACAGCACAAGTGCATAATCAAAGTCCGTCTGTGAGAGGCAACAGAATCGAAAGTCATCACTTACGTGTATTTCAGAATTCCTTCTAACTTTGAAGTCCAAATTATCACACTTTTATCAGCCGAGCCAGACGCAAAACGTTTGCCTAGGAATTAAATATAACTTAAATCCCGCACATACAAGAATCCCTTTAACGCCAAATAATCAAAGAGAGAGCAAGAAGTTCTTGAACTTGACAAGGCTCAAGTAATAAAGGGCCTAACACTGCAAGCGTCTTGATGTGACTGTGCTCCTCCAACTACATGAAACTCGAGTGACTTTATTTTGTTATTCCCACAGGGAGCACCTCACTAAAGCCCAGCTGTGCAGGCAAGTAGCCAGTCTTTCCAACACTGTCAGCCACAGGCCAGAGATTTGTGTTAACAGCATCAAGGGAAAAACGGTCCATTTTCACAGGCATCCCCTACACCTTCAGGAGTCATATTTGACTGTCCATTGGGTCCCACACAGGAGTCCCAACAGAATGGGAATCTGAGGCAATGAAGGAATTGGCAGCAGAATAAGGCCTGTAGCATACATGGTAACGTGTGAAGGATCAGAAGATTGGGAAGCTTGGGGACAGGGGAACTACGGGAATAAAAATCAGAAGCAGGTGGAGTACTGGCAAGAGGGATCTCTGGGGTAAGCCACCTCCTCACATTACCCCACAAATACAAACTTAACCATCAGTGCGGTAGAAGGGGCGGGGAAGTGGGGACTACAGTTCTTGGATTAACAGGTAGCCGTACACGTAAAAATACAGTACTTCTGCATCTAGCATTTGTATGGCATTCAGACTCTCCGTTAGAAAACAAACAAACCACCAGCACTCACACACATTCAAAATACTGTTGCTGAAACAACCCCAATTTTTCTACTTATCAATCAGCAGTGAGAAGTGCTTTACAAACCAGACTGACAAAGTCCCCCAAAGTGATATTCACCATCTTTAGCATAAGCCACACAGTATACCGTGTCCTTATGTCCTTTCAAAGGCTGAATTAAGGTTCCATCAGAAGTATCATAGACCTATTTAAACAGAGGGAAAACAAACACAAACATAGAAAGAAAAAAAACATACATAAGAATCTTCCAGTGAGGGCTAGGATACAAAATCACTGAAGGCAAACAAGATCATGTGCTTTTTGTCTCCTTTTTTTGCATAACAAAGCCTGCTGCCCTGCGGTTCTGAGCTACATCTTTATCCCTGCCATCCCTCCCTCCCTGCAGTTCCTACACCTGCCCCGTCTGCAAGCTTTGTGGGAGCTGTGAGAAGCATGGTCCCGAGCTGCTCTTGCTGATGGGTTAAGCAGCAGGCAAGCAGACCCAGGGAACCGCAAAAAGTTACAGCTGAAGCTTCTCACAAAGTAGGGACATCAATTTGAGTCTCCTTCCCCTTTTTCCACAGATTTGCATGAAGCTGTATTTGTGTGCCATGCTACTGTGCTAGGGTTGGATGCAGGTTAATGGATTTCAAACCACTGCGTGAGGTGTGAGAGGGCGAGATGACACAAGTAACTTAAATCTCATTACTTTTGGAAATAGAGCTTAAAACTTGGTAAGAAACATTAAAAAGCTTCAAAACACTTTACAGCTAGCCTGCATTAATATGTATGCAGATTTGAGGCTGGACTAGTAGAGATAAGAGGATTTTTGATAGGTTATATTCATAAGTTAATGTGAAAGAAATCATATTCATACAGCTATAAATGCAAGAGGAAAAAAAAAAAAGTTTCCCTACCAGCAGCCTATTTCCAGCAGCAATTATCAACTGAGTCCCATCTGGTTTGAATGCGAGATCATAAATACTAAAAAAAAAAACCAAACAAACACCCCCCCCAAGAAAACCCCACATTAGCAGGCAGAAAATGTATTTCCTTTAATGTCTAAGATGCCACCTAATAAAAACTGTTAATTGCACACTTGAGAGCATACCCATTTCCTGAGAAAATCCCCCAAACAAAAAGAACCCCCTGTGACGGTGTCCCCGGGCTCAGGAAGAAGCCCAAGCCCTGGCCACGGCCCAGGCTCCTGGCCT